CTTCCCTTTGACAAGTTTGTCAATTGTATTGACCCTCATATTATTATTATTATTATAATTACTTTGATCTAGTTTCCTGATTGGGACTAGTATGACCTGATTATATAATCATATCATCATTTATTTGATTGATTTGATTATGATTATTCTTATTATTTTGATATCTAGCTTCCTAATTAGGACTAGTGTCATTTGACCTGATCATCTATCTTTATTATTCTGATATCTAGTTTCCTAATTGGGACTAGTATCACGTGACCAAGTAGGAGTCTTCTGTAAAAGTCTTTTACAGGACCCTCCTACCAATCTGATTGGCCTAGCTTCGCTAGACCACCTTCCCGATTCGGACTAGCGCCTGGGCCAAAATCCCAACATTAATTATACTGAATTCTTTATTCCAGTAGCAAGTGAGATTATTCTTAAAATATTTATAATTAATATAGCAGTAAAGAGTCTCTGCTGGAAGTAATATAATATTATTTTTATTTATTTATATATTTAAATAGAAGATAAACAGGTTTATATAAGATAACTAACTAGATTCTATAAGAATTCTTTTAAATAAGTATATCTACTTAAAATAATCTTTTATAGATTATGGCAGGCAGCGTATCTATAATATTATATTTTTAATAAGAAATTATAAAAAGTCAGCTTTAAACCCCTGCTGGAGAATTTATATATATACAGAAATAATAAGATATAATTTATTATTTATATAAATAATTTTATTATTACTGGCTCTGAGCGGGCAGATCTAATCTTAATAAAATATTATCTTAATAAAGTATTTAGACTCAAGGAATTAGATAAACTGAAGATCTTATTTAATTATAATATTTTATATAATTATAAGACAGGCAGTATCTCGCTCAGATAGTTTATTTATATAAAGAAATATTTTACTACTGTAGGCATGTAATCCTGCTCAAGTATTATTATTTTTATAATATTTATTTATATAAAGACAGATCATACTGTGATATTAACTGAGAGAATTAATATTAATAAATATTAAAATCTTATAGATAGATTAAACTGGCTAATTATTAAAATTAGATCTGATTTATATTATGCCATATTCTGCTTATAAAGATATATATATACTCTAATTATAATAGATATAAAAATCTTAAAATATATATATAAATATTTATAAAATATTATCTTCTACAGAATCACCCTGGCAGTTAATTATATTAAAAAAATTAAAATTTATATAAATATTATTTATACTAATCACAAAGATAGTAAATTAATAGAAGAATATATTATTTTTTATATAGACAAACCCATTACCTGGTTATTAAATAAATAAAGTATTATTATACTCTTCTCTATTATTACAGAATACTGTATATATAATACCATTACTAAAGATACTCTATATATCAAGAAATTAGTACAGGTATTTAATCTTAAGATATTAGATAACAGTAAAATACTCTTGTTTAGTAATACTATTAATTTACTATAAATTCTTAACTATAGTATATACACGCAGTCTACTAGATAGCTAGATAACTACTACCTGTTTATAGCAAATCTAATTAAAATAAGTATTATATTAATCTAATATATTACAGATACTAGTAATCCTACAGACAGCCTTACTAAACTGCTAGATTAAGAAAAGTTCTATAACTTCTGGATTCTGTTAGAGATAATTTTATTAGCTATCTTCCTGCAGCATCCAGGGAATAATACTTAATATACAAAAGATTATCTATCTAGAAAATATTTATAACTTTATTTAGTACTTTCTTACATGCTTCTTCGCCTAGGGAATTGTGTCAAGATATTCATGTAGGCTAGTTATATACTGTGCTCAGACTGTCTATAAAGTATCTCTTTATATTACTTTGTTTTACTCTCCTAGATAGCTCAATTCAACTCACTCTTTTACTTCCATTTGTTTGTTTTATTATTGCTTTTATTACTGCTTCTGTAGAGCACTCCTCAAGAGTATATGTAGTGACTTGACAGACCTTCACTAGTAGCGATGAACACAACTTGATTGAGACTTATTACCATTGCAAAGCGAGCACGCCCGATACCGCATCATTATTCCCCAGGATTCATACTCGCAAAAACTACGCAAAAGCAAAAGTATGACATGTAATTTGTTCACCGCTTGCACCCCCAAATGGCATCGACCACAGCACGTATCCAAACTAGTTTTGGCCACGTTTATCTCTTATCGCTCAGGTTAAAAAGCTGGGACTTAAGTATTCTTCGTCACCAACCAAGACAAGACCCTTGTTTGACGCATTGCCTCACTAGGATACAAGCTCCACGCCCGTGCGGTAGCCAGACCAAAACACGATGTTTGACGTGGAAGGAAAGGTAAGCGCGTTACTTTTTTCGAATTCCAGCTTCCGGTGGGTTGCTGAACATAAACCAGTATGTCCTTGTGGCAGGTGGCTCCAAGGGTCTCGGGAGGGAACTCTCCTTGTCGCTGGTAAAGAGAGGTATGTTGAAGAAGAATCCCATGCTATGGCATGCGTACGGCAGGCACTGACGAGCAATTGACTACCAGGAGCTCATGTGACAGCAATCGCACGCTCTGAGAATGATCTGGACAAACTCAAGGTGGATATGGACGATGTGCGCGTACACGAAGACCAAGTTCTCGGTATCCAGCGTTTGGACTTGACTAATAGCGATGAGGTCTCTGCCAATAGTATCTCAGAATCAAAGAAAGAACGCTTTCTGACCAGTATATATTTGACCAGGTGTCCGGATTCATCAACGGGGTTGAAAAACGCATAACTGCCCTATTCTGCATCGCAGGCGGTGCCGGCGAGGAAGTGGGCCACTTCGTGGACATTTCTGCGACATCGATTCAGAGCTGCATGGAGCGGAATTACCTCACAGCGGCGTTCATTTCTCAGGCCGTCATGAAGATTTGGGCAACGGAGCTGAAAATGGAAAAGGAACGCACTGAAGCTCAGCAATCACGCCACCTTATCTTCACAGGGTCCACGGCGGGGATAGTTGCAGTTCCGGGGTACGCCGCATATTCACCATCGAAGGCGGCTGTCCGCTCCTTAGCCGACAGTTTGAGGCAGGAGAGTCTCATGTATTCTCCTGCTGGATCTATACAGGTTCATTGCAGCTTTCCCAAGATATTCATGACGGAGAGGATCAACGTACAACAAGCGCGGAAGCCGCAGATATGTAAAGAGATCGATGGCACTGCCGACAAAATCGGAGGGTTGACGGTCGAGGATGTGGCTCGGCAGATCCTTGCAGGGCTTGATAAGGGATGTTACATGATCCCGACGGATTTGCAGACGCGGTTTCTACTGAACAATATGCGTGGGCCTAGTCCGCGGGACAATTCCTTGGTTGACTGGTTGCTGAGCTGGGCTGCTTTGTTCATTTATCCCATTGTGGCTACGATTGTGGATTGGAAGGTAACGAGGTATGGCAGACAGCGGCGTGAGTAAGCTTGATGTTGATTTATATGACGGAGATGCTGCTGTTCCATTCGTTTGACTCATATAGGAAGATATGATACGAAAAGTCAATGCAATTAAATAGGTTTAATTATGATACTATCGCTAGTACAGTGGCCTCCGCATTTACGTCACAATATGGGAAAAACCATTCAGGGGATGGAGGAAAACCCATATTAAGGCCCATAGATAACCCGAAGAAATCCAAAAATTTTTGGACTGCTAGTTAGCATCATCCCTTCTGAAAATATCTAAGAGCAGATGATAGAGGCGGCAGTAGTTGCAACTTCCGCTGAGCATCCCGGAGGGGGGTTGGCCTCGAAGTCAGCTACATATAGACCAAAGGTACACAAAACCGGTCCGCCACATTGAGGAGCACTATAATGTGATATCTAAAGTCAGACTACCTTCTCTGAAACGTCCACAATGTGGATTTGCTCGTACCTATATAGATTGCAGGCATGAGGAGGAGTGGTTTCTGCTGAGCCAAGGTTGCGGAAGCTGTAGAAATATCATCAGTATAAGGCAAATCTTCGAAAACGATGGATTGAGAAGCATACTGGCTGAGGTCCAGATCGTGGCAATTGGTGTCGAGGATATTCTGTAGGGATCCTCCCCGGTTTGGTTCACTCCAAAGGGAAGCCTGTTTTAGATGGTGCGTCAGATCCGAGTATGGCAGCAACCTTTACAGAAATGAACTTACATGGATGGTAGTATCAACCTGGGGGGCTGCCATGGCCAAGATTGGCATCAAGGTGGTAACGGCAATAACAAGCTTGGAGAACATTTTGCTGTTTTGTTCTAAGTTGGGCTTTCTTGTTGCAAGTTGCACAATTGAGCTCAAGATACAACGGAATGGATGACTTGTTGATCTGTAGAATTGCCATGTATAGAGAGGAGAACCTCCTATTTATGACTTTCTCTGAAGGGATGCTCATTCAAGAATTAACAAAGGTGTGCAATGGGATATGTGTACGTGGTTGCACTCTGGGATACTTGCACAACATGCCAGTTAGTCTGCGTCATATCCGAGCGAGTATCCTTTCAATCCCCTGAATGCTCGTATAGGAAGTATAGCAGAGCACAAATTGTGTCTAGGTGTACGCTTACACGAGATAGTACCTTCAGCCAGCCTCATAGATTCCTCTGTCCTTCCGGGATGAAGTTATTTAAATCGATAACTGGCTCTTACCTCAAGTCACAAGGGCAGCCTCGATATGCATTCCGAGTAACCTATCCGCTCCGCACTGGAGGCATAGCTGATAGCTATGAGCTGCATACACCGTAAACTATTATGCTGACTTTCAGCAACAGCTCCATACTGGGGCTAGGAATGAAAGCTTTGATACCAAGCATGCGAACTTGCGTCTTGAGACAATACTAATACTAAACTCGGACTATAGTTCTAGGATTATATGAAAAAGGTTGCATGAGACTAACAACCAAAAATAGAACTAGTAGTATAGACCTACTTGTCTTGATTTGCATTTGAAGATGAGGCTATATATATTTATTCATTTTATTGTTCGTGAAAGGTATGCTTTTCCCATAAGAAACTAGTTGTCAATTTTGGTCAGCTAAGACGGATATCAGAGCGGAACAGTACCCATGCAATGATTAGAAGAACTTGAGCCATCTTGGACTGCTAAGCAGCCCATACTATGTTGCCTAGCCACCCCTGTCCCTAGCGGCACTAATTAAGTAGCAGATCGGCAGTACCGAACGAGTTCACCCCCCGAAGTCCTCTGCTTTTACCAAAGGCACAACGACCAACGACCTGAAATCCTCCTTTAGAATATCCGCACAGAAATGTATGTTTTTCTGCACTAACATCACCTTCCAGTAAAGTTATGTCAGGCCTCACTTTTGGAGGGGCTGCACTTCTTACTGTCAGTCTATCTTCCAACTACCACTCCATGATAGGGACAGCGACCTCCTTTGGTAATATGTCCCTAATTCTCCTGTTGCTTCTTATTATCTGGGTACTATGGCGAAGATTCGTGTGGTCTAATTACTTTTCTCCACTGCGACGCCTGTCATCCCCTCATAGTGGGACTTGGGGAATGAATCAACGTCTGCGACTCTATACGGAACCCCGCGGAAAACCCCAGTGTGACTGGTATGTGGAGTAGTCCCTGTCCTCAAAAATACTTCGGAGTCCCCTCTACTCCCCTCCCCGCATTTTCGCCTTCTCCGGTTGGTGCTGATCACTGACGGAATGTACAGGGTCAATTACATTCCAAACGATGGTTTGATACGCTACCGTACTTTGCTGAACTCCGACCGACTGTTGGTGACTTCTCCTGAGGCCCTCGCTGAAGATTTGACGACGAAATGCTATGACTTCAGGAAGCCCAAGTGGCTGGTCGGTGAGTTGAAGCAGGTACTAAGGGTTTGGCTCTCGTTAGGAGAGGGAGATGACCACCGAATCCAGAGAAAGATCCTCACACCAGCCTTCTCGTTCCGTCATATCAAGAATCTGTACGGAGTATTCTGGGACAAGTCGCACGAGTTAGTGAATGCGATGACAGAGCACCTGTCATGCAAGGAGAAGGAGCAGCAGATCACTCGACTTGCGTGTGACGAGTCCCCGCCCGGCACCGGCGTGCTCGATATTGCAGATTGGGCGAATCGAGCAACGTTAGATATGATTGGGATTGCAGGTATGGGTCGAGATTTTGGGGCAATTCACGACTCGAACGCGGACTTAGTCCGTGCATATACGCTGGGTTTTCAACCTTCAAAAAGTGCCATCTTTCTTGCCATCCTGCGTCTTCTGTTGCCTAATTGGTTGGTAAACCGTCTGCCCCTTCCACGGAACAAGGAAATACAGAGAGCCGTCCGCACGATTCGGGGTGTGTGTGCTGAGTTAATTCATCAAGAATCCAAATATATTTCAGATAATAGCAACCCCGAGCATCGGGATATACTCAGAGTCGCCCTCCAGAACGTCGGCTTCAGCGAGGAGGGCCTCATTGACCAGCTTATGGCATTTCTAGCTGCTGGACACGAAACGACGGCAACAGCCATCACTTGGGCAATCTATCTACTCTGTGCCAATCGAGATGTGCAAAATACTCTCCGCCAGGAGGTACGCGAGAAACTTCCGAGTCAAGATGACCTTACGAAGTTTTTCAAACATCAGAGCATCGATTCCATGACCTACTTACACGCCGTATGCGACGAAGTTCTTCGCTACGCGCCACCTGTACCATTTACTATCCGCGAAGCCGTGGTCGACACAATGATCCTAAATCAGCCAGTTCCCAAAGGCACGAAGATAATGCTGGTCCCTCGAGCTACAAACCGAGATGCGCATCTCTGGGGCCCAGATGCGCAGGAATTCAAGCCTGAAAGATGGTTGAAACCAGACACTCGAAGTAATTACGCTACAATGACCTTTTTACATGGGCCCCGCAGTTGTATCGGTCGATCGTTCGCAAAGGCCGAGTTTGCCATTTTGCTGGCTGTCTTAGTGGGACGATTCGAATTCGAATTGGAGGATGGCCGGTTTTTGGACGAGAGACACTTGAAGGTAACCCGCGCAGTAACTGCCAGGCCCGTGAATGGTCTTCTCGTCAAGGTAACCCCCCTTTTATAGGCTGTGCTAGAGGTACTAGTCATGCATCTTGGGCCACCTATGCTTAGCTACGCTTGGGCCCCAGACACAGTATAAACCACCCTGGATAGTACTACTGGTTTCATGGCCCGCACGATGATGATTATGTAGCATGAAGATTGATAGCAGTTAAGCACTGACAATTTATTGAGACTGCATATCAAAGACCGTGTTCATAAAAGAAATTAAACACAGACTAATCCAGAAAATATATGAGTGGGTAATGACTACTATCTTCCAGGATAGCTTGAGGCTGATCTGCACCTCTCACAGGCCGTCATAACCATTACGCACCCCCTTCCGCTCTCGCAATCTGTGAAACGAACTTCTTCTTCAGCGCCTCGATTATCAGCATCCCTAGATTAGCAATGGACCCTGCATTCAAGATCTCCAATGTGCTGATCTCAATGCCGCCCAGGCATCTCTTCATCCAGTTCCTGATCTCAATAGTGACAAGGGAATCAATGCCCAGCGCGGCTGGTGATACGCCCACATCTAGATCCTCCAATGGCTGTAGCATGAAAGTGTAGATCTTGACAGCCAATTCATGTGTTACTACTTCCACTGAAACAGGGCCATCAAGCACTGTTTCCGGATCTGCTTCTACGGACATTAGGAAATCTTTGAGCGCGTCGGTCTCTGTTTCCACCACTGCTATTGGCTGGTGCCTCATTATATATGTTGTGAAAGACTGCCATGCGAGGGTCCTTTCTCCACATTATACGATTGGAAGGATCGGAGAGAGGCTTGTCGCAGCGTAGCCCGATTGTTAATGATCCATCTTCCATTGGATCCACTGCGGATTTGACAATGGCCCAATTGAGTGAATCCAAGAGGTCCATCTCTCTGAGAAAGTACCCGTCCGCGGCGCGAAGAGCATCTGCTTTGTCACTGTTTTTAGCTAGATAGCCAATGTCGTCCATGAGACCGATGTGTAAGACTGAGGCGGGGAGACCTAGACTCCTGCGGTACTGGACGAAGGCGTTGAGGACGCCTTATGTTATGCCAAAATCAATGCGATCAAGTATACCAACACCATCGGTTCATTTGTCTCGTTACGCGCTGTAAGAATGTAAATCAAGCATGCAGCTAAGCGTAGAATGAAAAAATGTGCTCTTTGTCCGGAATGCATTGGCTGGGCGTAGTTTGCTTGGCCTGGTGCGCCGAATGACCCGCTAATGGATCCAGCAACGAAGAAGAAGTCCAGAACTTCCGGCATCGCATGGTGTAGATTCCATGTTCCTTGAACTTTTGGTTCAATTGCGGCGGTCCAGTCTGAGAGATCCATTTCCATGAATGGCTTGTCTTGAAGTACCATTGACAGTTGGAAGACCCCCTTGATTGGTTTCTTTGCGACTTGGGTGATGTTCATAACGTCTTCTTTGTTTATGACACTGCCTTGAATGGTTTGGACACTGCAACTCTGACATTCTAGCTCTTCAATAAATCGTAGGTCCTGCTCTGATGTTCCGGCCGATCGGGAGAAGAAGATGAGGTATCTGGCGCCTCTCTCGACGAGCCAGGTCGCTATTGCTCGGCCCAGGCCGCCCATCCCGCCAACAAGAAGATAAGAGGCATCGGCGCTTAGAGTCAGGTCAGGAGTAGTTGCAGCTAGTGGTAAGTCCTGCCCTCCCTCTGGAATTGTCACGATGATCTTCCCCATGTGCGCGCCTTTCTGCATGTAACGGAAACTGTCCTCAATCTGAACGGCAGGGAAGACTGTCATGGGTGAAATAGGCTTGATGTCTCCTGATTCGAGCATTTGAAGGGTACAGACAAGTAGCCTGTATCATTATGTTAATGGTGTGGTTTAGTGCACCGAAATTGGAACATACCGGTGACGCTTCGAAGTGTCAAGTCCATTCAAATCGATACCAATAAAGCTTCTATTTGCCTCGAAGAGACCCATGTTCAACTGGGCCTTTCCAACAATGTCTTCCTTTCCTATTTCAAGCATTTTACCACATGGAGCTACGCATTGCCAGGAGGCATGTAGAAGCTCCCCGACAAGCTGTTTAGCACCAGGTCGACACCACGTCCTTCAGTAGCAGCAAGGAGATCCTCTTGGAAGGAGGTGTCACGAGAATTAAAATATATGACTGCGAGGGATACTGAAGGCTTCTGTAAGATAACGGGCCTTTTCCTCGTTTCCGACAGTTGTATAAACCTGCACATTGTTAGACACGAACTCAATTAGACTTGAAGTATCACTGAAAAGGGAAATGGCTCACCTGGACTCTACCAATGCTCTGGCAGATGTTCAAGGCTGCGATCCCAATGCCTCCACATGCGGAGTGAATCAGCACTGACTGGCCGCTCTGTAGACCACCGATGTCTAGAAGCGAGTGGATGACAGTAGCATAGACGGCAGGCAGAGTGGCAGCTTCCTCATATGAAATGTTTTGCGGGATCTTGGCGCATTTCGTAGCTGAAATCGTGATACGGGTTGCAAAGCAATTTTTGTTGAGGTAAATAACTCGGTCGCCAATGTGAAGGTCGGTTACTCCAGTACCTACCTCTGTTACCACACCGGAGCCTTCCAGCCCGATACTTAATTCTTAATCTTCAAGAACTCCCATGGCAAGAAGCACGTCTTAGAAGTTTGGCTTAGTATTTCCCGAGGGTAACGGAGTCAGGAGATTACGGGGGTTCCTACTCTAAAGTTCAGGCCTGCGCAACGCGGCTGAATGACCACTTCACCGTGCTCAGGTTCTCTTGTTGTCAAAGGGGTCCATTGTAGAGTTTGCAAAAGTCCGGGGCGCCCGATGGCCAACTTAGCAGTGCAAGGCTTGGATGCCGTGATTGCCAGGTCGTGGGCCACTGAGGCCGGATAATATCGTCCTACTAGAATGGTCCCATTACGGATGAAGAACTCGCTATCTGCATCGAGTGATCCCTGTGAATCATGGCTGTGAAGGTCTTCGAATATCTTCACTATCAGTAGGCCGAATCGATCTTTGAGCCAATTTGATTCCAGTGTTGCGAATGAGACAGAGTTCTCTGCTCGTAGCATTCGAGCGAGGCCAAGGGTGAGGCCAAACTCGGGTGATGAACTTACTTCATATTGGGCCGCCGGAATGAGCCACAGTATCTTGCTGTTCCCTTGTCTAGCCACCATTCTCTGGAAGGCTATCAGATCTTCGTGGGATACGTTCGCAAAGAGCGGTGCTTCGAGCACCAAAACTGAGATAATGTCTTGATCCGGTGGAGGCCCATCTTGAAGTGTGCTCAAGTCGACCTGATATCCACGGATCGTTAGCGTATCTAGGAGATGCTCAATATCCTGTCCAACATTGTGGAGTAGAGTCACGCGATGAATATTGGGTAGGAGTTGTGCAGGCCGATAGACCATATTGACGTTGATGTGATATGGGCGAGGGCCGTCGAAGACTTCGGCAGCCTTCGAGTACCCTGCCCGTTTCAGAGCGTATTCCCACTTGTGGGAAGGCATGAACGGCTCATCAACTCTCCCATCATTCTCGCCCAGCCACCATCCTGGCAATATTCCCATAATTCTTGGTCCAATTGGTCAGCGTGGACTATGAATAAGAGGAGCTTAGTAAAACGGTTGGAATATGAGACTTACAGGCTCGTAGCCCTTATCGTTGGGCATAATTCTTGCAGAAATAGGTAACCTCGGGGAGCAAGCAGCTTTCGCACGTTAACCAGAGTGCCGTGGATTATGGGAGTGGCATGTAGAACATTGCTTGCAATGATCAAATCGTATGATTTGGCCTCAAAACCTTGTTCGATTGGGTCTTTCGTGATGTCAAGCATCTTGAATTCCAGTCCTTGATATTCTTTGAACCTTTCCTGCGCTGCGGGAAAGAATCCAGCGGAAATATCAGTAAAGGTGTACAGTGAGTACAGGCGGTCACACTCCGGGCCAGAGGATGTGGTTAGACCTCGCAGGGCTGTTGCCGTGACGCTTCCGGTGCCAGCCCCAATCTCGAGCACCCTCAAGGTGGGATTTGTATGGCCTGCAGAAGCGAAGAACTTGACTGAGTTTGTTCTAGACTCGGCGAAATCATAATACTTGCCAAGTCCGTTGTCTGCTTGGAGTAATTCAAGACTGTCCACTTGCCCCTGGGTGAGAGCAATGCAATTATCTAGAATCCTGGTGATGAGCTCGGCTACGATTCCAGCGTCGGTTTGCGACACGAGGTGTTTCAACTCATGAATTAATGCGAGCCGGGCATCAGTGCTGTGAAATAACATCTCCTCTGCATTTGGAAGCAAGTCGTACTTGTTGTTCCATGCCCTAACTATTTGGAGCCCAATCCACGAGCGGAACTTCTGTAGGTGCTATGTCACAGTCCAGATGGAATGTCCGATGGCCTATCTCAACCATACACAGAAGTGCCAGTTTTTCCAGTCGTTCAAGGTTTGCTGAGCCTTTTCTTGAGCCCTCGCTGGTTTTGATCATGAAATGTATCATGTTCAGTTGAAGGTGGGGCTTCCAGTGTAATTTAGCCGCCCCGATCGTATCAGGCTTGTCCGCTATTGAATTTGTTTCCAAAGGGGAATATCTGACTCCCGCTAGAGACAGAAAAATGCCTTTTTCGGACTTCGCTACCACTTTCCCAGAAATCGCACTGGTAGAGCTAGTTGTGGCAGCAGCCTCGACGACCGCATCCGTGGAACTCCTGCTGCCACTGATATAGATTTGCTCGATCCTTGTTGGAACACATAAATGGGACATGCGACGGTAAATACCGCCACAACTTGCTGGAACCAACAGTTGCAGACAGTGATCTATGGTTGTTGGGTGAACGACGTAGGGAGGTTCAGATACCGTAGTTGCCACTAGCCTGGCAGAAGCCACGTTCTTACCCGGTAGACAAGTCACTCCAGTCAAACCTCGGAAACATGGGCCATAGTTAAGACCGATTTTCTTCATCATTGCATACAGGCCGTTGGCTGACCGGGGATACTGGGAAGAGGGCGGTATTGAGGTAGGATGCGTGCCCCCCGCTCGGATCTGGCCTACACAGTGCTTGATCCAGGCAGTCTCGTTGAACGAGATTATGCTGAATTCCCACCAGTCAGAGTCCAACATAGTGATAAGCCGGATAGGGTGTAGATTCGTGATCATCTCAACTGTCTTGGACTCATTCAATATTAATGCTGTGTGCACCATGACATCCCGGAAGGTGCAACGGTCGTCTGAGGAGATCTGTCGCATGGCCTCCACTGCCATTGCAAGGTAGCCTGCACAGGGGAATACGGTATCATTGATAATTCGATGATCTCGAAGCCATGGCACGTCTTCTAAACGAAGCATGTTGCGCCATTCGGGTCGTAGGTCGTTGCCCTCCAGGGTGCGAGAGCCCAGTAATTCGTGGTGAGGAATTTTACGGGACCTCCACTCTTTGCACATTCTGCTTTCAGACCAATACTCATGCTCATGGTGCCACTGGTATAGTGGCAAGTTAGTGAGCAAGCGCCTTGCTGGGCAGATCTTCTGGAAATCCAATGATACATTGTTCAAGTATAGCTCCCCGACCATGTGAAGTATGGATTCGGTACAGTCCTTACCTTTGGTCATGGCTGCGAGGTAAATGTCTTTAAACCGGTTAGCTTCTTGGGAAATCTGTCGGAGCGGCCCTTTGAGGGCACTATGTGGACCCATCTCGAGGAAAAGATGCTCGGTGGATCCTTCGCTGTCCCTCAAATGCTTGACAGCACCATAGAATAGGACCGGCTTTTCCGCGTTTTCTCGCCAGTAGCCCGCATCTAAACGACCTGGCCCTTCTATTCTCTTTTCGTAGACACTCGAGAAAAAGGGCACTACAGGAACCTTGCTGTGGACATGCTGGCACAGGAAGGACTCAATGAATTCGCCAATATCCAGGATATGATCTGTGGGATGATCAACATTCAAAATCCCAACAATTTGTGTATATCTGTAGAAGAGCAAACTGGGTACCCACGAGAATGATATCCCATCTCCACATTCAACCTACGAACGAAACACCCCGGATTGTCTCTCTTGATTGCTTCACAGGCCTTTTCCAAGACACCAAGATCCCCTGATAGCGTAATACTCTGCGGGCTATTTTCGCACGCTATCACGATCCCTTGAGTCAAATAGCGGGCGACTTCCTTATAGCCAAGCCCTATGGTGGCCATCCCACCCGGTCGTGGGTATCCTTTGGTCAGGTACCCACGGTAATATGCGATTGTTATTGCTTCCCCGGCTGTGATCGCCCTTGAAGCGTAAGCGGCTGCGATCTCTCCACTGGAGTGACCAACTACTGCGTCAGGCCGAATGCCCCATTGACGGAGAAGGTTCACTAATGCCACCTGAACAGCCGTGACTAGCGGCTGGGAGTACTCTGACTTGGTTAAATTGCTAGTGCGTTCTGGCCCCAACAGTTCGTCTCTGAGATTCCAAGAAGGGGCATGTTCCAGTCTGGCCAGTACGGCGCTCATATCAGTAATGTCTTCGTCGAAGGAGGGATAGTCAATTATCAGCTCTTTGGCCATTCCTGCCCATTGGGACCCTTGACCAGGGAAGGCCATTGTTATCGTGGGCTTCTCCTTGATTTTGGTCAAGCGAGAGAAGACCAAGGCATCGTGTGATGTACTGGTGACACAGTAGACTCTGTTAGCTAGGTGTTCCCGCCGATTGCACAAAGTGTATGATATTTCCGCCATCAGAGACGGATTGCAACGGATATATCGTTCATGCTCGAGTAGACTCTGTGTCAGTGACACTGGGTGTGCTGCTGATATTACGTGGATGAACTTCCGAGGATGGGGAAGCGACTTTAAGCTTCCACGGATGGCCTTAGGGTCCTGGCTATCGGCGTTGGGGGTAGTATTTTGAGACATGGAAGGTGTAACACTCTCGAGAATGACATGTGCATTTGCTCCCGCAATACCAAAGGAGTTTACGCTCGCTCTCAGCGGCTTATTGGACGGCCATTTCATCACGTCGACTGGGACCTCCATGTTAGCCTCCTTGAAGGGAATTTTCGAGTTCGGAATCGAGAAATTTATGTTCGCTGGAATTCTCATATTCTCCAACGCCAGTATGACCTTCACAACTGACGATACCCCGCAAGCGCCCTCACTATGGCCCAGGTTCGGCTTGACGCTTCCAATGTAGACTGGATCCTGATTACCTCCGAAGACTCGTGCGATTGCCGCAGCTTCGACGGGGTCACCCACAGGTGTACCTGTCCCATGAGCCTCAACAAAAACGGTTTGCTTAGGGTTGAGCGACACTTCTCGATATGCTTGACGGACCAATGCCTCATGTGCATCAGAGCTGGGCGTCGCCATTCTTGGCGTTCCGCCGTCGAAATTCGTCGCAGTCGCCCTGATGACGGCACGAATTGCATCGCCAATTTTGATCGCCTCTCCAAGGGACTTGACATAGATGACATTGATGGCTTCCCCCCTGGCATATCCGTTCGCTGCCACATCGAAAGATTTGCACGAACCGTCAGGTGATAGTGTACCTTGCTCCGCCGTGGCAATGGACATTGTGGGCGAGAAAATAAGATTCGTACCCGCAACCAGTGCCCCGGAACAATCGCCCGCACGAATGGCTCGGATAGCTTCATGCAAAGCAATCAAGGACGATGAACACCCGGCTTTGATGGTGAAAGAGGGGCCTTTCAAATCGTATTCGTAACTTATTCGATTAGAGAGGGACAGATCGTGCCCTCCAAGGACTCGGAACATCCCTGCATCCTGGATATCCTTGGCATGGAGATCCAACCAGTCCTGTCCGGAGAACGTCTTAGATCAGTCCCTTCTAATTTCTATACTTATTTCTCTACTTACCTCGCCCCAGACTCCAACATAACAGCCAATTTTGCTGCCGCGCCAGTTCACTTGACCTGAGGATTGCATGCATTCGTAGACAACTTCGAGCAGCATCCGTTGCTGGGGGTCAACATCGTCCGCCTCCTTTGGACTCATCGAGAAGAAGGAAGTATCAAAATATTTGAGGTTATCACTCTCTGCGAGAAAGTGTCCATGTTTCATCGTGACCGATCCTGCTCGTCCAGTTGGGCTATAGAATCCGTTCACATTAAACCGACTTTGGGGTATCTTGCTTCGCGTGGACCGCTTCTCTGTGATAAGCTTCCAGAGTTCTTCCCCGGTATGAATTGCCCCAGGTAGACGCAATCCAAATCCAACTATTGCTATCGGCTCCAAGGGGCTGTCAGTTTTACCATGGGTCACAGGCTCATTCGGGAGCTGCACGGACAGCGCCGGGGCAGGTGAATCTTTGAAATCCATTAGGGGTCTGATGAACATAGAAGAATTGAATATAAAGAAGAGTGACTGAGGGGAGACGAGTGACAGATCATCTCCATATGATAAGACTAAAGTGAGACAGCGAGACTGGCATGAGGTATGACGAACGGCATGGCCCTTTAGCGGAGCTTTAGATCCGGGAACCTTCAATCAGGCCCCTTCCAACGGTCATAGGACACAAGTAGCATAAAGTTACCTTGGCTGTAGCTAATGAGATGCCAAGGGTTTTCATAATTCTTCTTGTTCCATGATTCCCAACCATTCGCTTAAAAACGTGACTTTCAGCTCGTGGACCTCTCCCATCTTTAGCAACTTCGGTGGATCCGGCGCAGGGCATGTCAGTCGACTAATGAAACAATTAAAAGAATAAAATTATCATCAAGTTAGTGAGCAAGATACTCCGAGACAATGACCTCGGTCGATGGTGATGTGATGATTGGTTTGAATACCGAAGCACAAACACAATCGGGGAGTGGGAAATGACAGGCAGGTCAGCTGACAGGAAACTAAACCGACCAACCGATATATACTTTGGCATATCTATTTCAATAATTCTAGCTCCAGAGTCATGTGCAGGGATCCAGGCCTTGGTAGACAACTGGCGTGTGAAGCAAGGTTAGATTCGGAAACCCTCTAATCAGGCAATTTTCATGTGCTCAGAAAGACTCGATAGCACATAAACCATGAGTTTTGATGCAGTTGGTCTTTTTTTTTCACTCGAAAAGCCACCTTTCTTCACTATGCTTCTCTCCTCGATAGAGGTCCGTCTGGGGTCTTTGTTCTGTCTAAAAGAAATTTGTGTGGGTTATACATATCAACTTTAAGAAAGCTTATTTGGCTTTGATTACGGCTGATAGGTCTAGGCACCATAATGATTTTGTGCAAGATCATCTGCTTAAACAGTGGTTTCTGTTTCTAATCCTAGAATCATCAGAATTTTGCCTGTTGTTGCTGACATACCCTGATATAGAAATTGGTCAACACCCATATTCGGGATATGACCCAGCTGACAATCCATAGAAGTGTCCATATGCTTAGTGATACCTCCATATCATGTGGTAGAGTCCACTATTATTCCCCAAAGTTGACTTCATTTTCTATGTCGTAATCAGTGGAGGGCGCCCTCCGTATAGAGAATAGTTAGGGCTAAAGAGTCAAAAGCGGGTCCAGTGCGGGGACTCCGCAATGGGTTCCAGAATTGACATGCTTCTCGGCGTCGCTATCTCCAAATTTTTTCGCACACTGCCGCCATGTCGACAACTACCACTACAGTGACCAGTGAGCTCAGCTCACTCCGTCTCTCCGCTGAAGAAGTCCGACTTCCAGCCCCTCGAGATGACCGAAAGTCGCGCCTACAACAAGTCGTCGTCATCACCCAGCTGTTTGCCGTCACACTCACGGCCAGTGTGATCAATGGCTTGGTTGTAGTCGGACTCCCCACTATCACTGCAGACCTCCAGCTGCCCCCTTCGCTCTCTCTATGGCCATCGTCTGTATGCAGTCTCGCGACGGCTTCTACACTCCTTCTGTCCGGCTCAATTGCCGACACAATTGGCCCACGATGGGTTGAACTAGTCGGATCTCTCGCCAGCGGCGCCCTGATGCTTGGGCAGGGTCTGTCGCAAACTGGAATTGAGCTGGTGATCATGCGAGCCTTCCAGGGTGTCGGTCTCTCAATGCACCTCGCCTCTTCAGTATCCATTGTCACGCAGCTTCTGCCCCCTGGTAAAGGCCGCAACCTGGCATTCTCTTGCATTGGTCTGAGCCAGCCATTGGGCTTCTCACTGGGACTTGTCGTCGGCGGCATTCTAATTGACACCATCGGCTGGCGCGAAGGCTGGTACATCGCCGGAGGAATCACTCTCTTCTTCACCGTCATCGGACTGTGGTCATTACCCAAGAGCCCCGTGCAGCGAGACGGACACATTCTCCGCAATGTCCGAACCAAGATCGACTGGGTGGGAGCTGGACTTGCTTCAGCATTTATGGCATTGCTCTGCTACCTGCTCGCGTGGGTACCCTCAAACACCAATACTATTCCCTAATCTAACCAATCTACAAACACAGAATCCTCAGCGCAAACCCCTCCCGCATCCGCTCCGCAGAAAGCATCATTATCCTCTGCGTCGCCGCCATCGCCCTCCCCACCTTCATCACCTGGGTCCATTTCCAAGTCAAGCGCGGCAAACCAGCCCTAATCCCCAACGCACTATGGAGAAACACCTCTTTCTCGAGCATCTGCGCGACAGTCGCCCTGTCAAACGCAGTAATCAACTCCATGGAACTCTTCGCCAGTCTATTGTACGTCCCCACCTCCCGCTTTATTCCCTTCCTTGTCACCACCCCCTTATATTTTCATTACCACGTACTAACAAAACACCTCAAACAGCTTCCAAGAAATTCAATCCCTCAGTGCCCTCGGCGCCTCGATCCGCATTCTCCCCAGCCTAATCGTCGGCGTGCTCATCAACCTCGTAATCGGCTTCTTCGTACACCGCATCCCCGCCTACTGGATTGTAACCATTACATCCTTCTTCTGCGCCTTCTCCCCGCTCCTCATGGCCGTCATCAACCCAGCCTGGACATACTGGGCGAATGCCTTCGTCGCGCAACTCCTGCAGCCCATCAGCGCGGACGCGCTCTTCACAGTGGGGTTGATCGTCATCACGAATGTGTTCCCGGATGATACGCAGGCGTTGGCCGGAGCGGTGTTCAATACCTCGGCGCAGTTTGGGAGTGCGTTGGGGATGGCGGTGTTACAGGTGATCTCGACGGTTGTGACTGAGGGGAAGGAGAAGGGTGGAGAGAGTGAGAAGAAGGCATTGATGGAGGGATATCGGGCCAGTTTTTGGACTATGTTTGGGTTGATGGTGGTTTGTACGGCGGTGGGGTTCTTTGGGTTGAGGAGATCGGGGAGGGTGGGGTTGAAGAGGGACTAGATTGTTGTTATTTGGGTTGTTTGGGGGATTTGTGGGTTATTGTTCTGCTGGTTGGGTTGTTAGGTTGGGAAAAGTTTGTTGGCTTTTTATACTTCATTGTCTATATTGGGTTGGTGTGGATTTTAGGGTTGTTGTGCATCTGCATGAAGTGGACATAATAGACTGTGGCATTATAATTAGCGAAGGGAAAGGGAAATCATACTTCTAGAGTATCTCGAAAATAGTTTAATTACATTCATAACCGAAATTCTGGCATTCTTGTCTCAGAGTATACTATAACATATTCAGCAGAGCCCCTTCACCCACTTCGATCCCTCACACTTCAAGTCAGTCTCTCAACCTGTTATCACTTCGCACCACCCGCCCCGAGCGCCTCAACCGCCTGCCTCGTCAACCCTTCAAACGTCATCTCCGGCGCAGTAAACGCATGAAAACTCAACGCCAGTCCAAACTCCCCAGACAACCACTGCTGCAACTCGGACCCAATCATACTATTCAGTCCATACGAGGCAACAGTCCCTTTACTGAAATTAATCTCGTCAATCTCCCTCCCCAACATACTCGCGCATTTCTGTACAATCCGATCTCCAACGTGCGCCATTAGCGTCTCATAATCCAGCTCCTCCCCATCACCGATAACTTCCCCATCCGGTTTCGAAGCTCTCAACGAACCGTGCACAAGATCCAAGTCACGCTGCACATCACGCAGACGAGCATCACCATGCCAGAATAGACGGTTTGTACCGGCAGAACGGTGCAGCAGGGAAGGATCGAGCCCTAACACGAGATGACTGGGACTTCTCGGAGACATGGCGACTTCGAGACCCTCGAGCATCTCTACCTCGTCAATTCCGTAGAAGCCTAATCGCTGGAGAGAGTCCTCGACGGTTTGGTTTTCTGCTACTACGCCGACGTCGAGGAGCATGGGTAGCGCTATCGAGCAGGCGGGTAGGCCAAGGGACTGGCGGTATACTGCGAACGCATCGAGGAAGCTGTTCCCGGCACTGTAATTTGTCTGACCTGGTGTGCCTATTGTGCCCGAGATCGAACTGGTCATGACGAAGAAGTCTAGTAGGGCGTTGATGAGGACGGAATGGAGGACATGTGCTATGCGGAGTTTGGGGGTGACGGCAGCTTGGTATTGCGCTGCTGTCATGCCCTGAAGTAGGCCGTCCTAATGGGCGATTAGATCATGTCTTTGGAGATGGAGATAATGAAGTTGTTTACCTGCAGTACCATTGCAGCGTGCACCACACCACGGATCGGTCTTTCTTTCATCGCTCGGGCGACAATTGCTCTCATATCGGACTCATTGCCAGCATCAGCCTGAAATACCTGTACAGATGCACTGGCCTTTTCAGCAAGTTCAACGGTCTGTGCTGCCTTTGGCTGCGTTGCGCCTGAGCGTGACACGAAAATGAAATGCCGACATCCTCGTTCAGCCATCCAGCGGACCAGACTGCTTCCAAGGCCGCCGAGCCCTCCAATGAGTAGGTATGCTGCATCAGGGAAGAACTTGACCCGTCGGATCTGAGGTAGGATCTGCCGTTGTCAGAGTTGTAAAACACGAGGCTAGTGAGAATTGCAACATACCTTTACCGTACTTTCACCATATTTGAATTGCACTGCCGCATGTACCTCTCCAGTTGAACCTGGAGATGCATTGAACTGGTTGCCATTTGACTGCGTGGGCATTTGATCAATGCTGTAAACTGGCACATGGGACGTCCAGATGTCCTTGTTCTTCTTCAAAAACTCCAAACCATCCTGTAGGATTTCAGCCGTCATCCCTTGTTGTGTACCGAGGTTTTCGTATCCCATCGGCAGGAAAGAAGCACCCTTGGTAAAAGGACCTGTATCCAGCTTCCCTTCCATACCTTCATTGCATAAGACAAACCGACCGGCCGCTGATATATGTCTCCATGCCTCTTGACCAGCTGTTGAGAACTTATCGCATATCACCAGTGAAAACTTCCCGGAGGTGGCTTCGAGGACTGGCGACATATGAGACGCATGCATATCCTCAACCACAACAATCGGGATGCCGGACGCCGAGGCTTCGTATAGTTCTTCACTCCCTTCTTGTGTCGCTACAACGACAGTGATCCGGACATTCAATTCCTTACTAAGACTGATGGCCACCTTAGCAAACAAGAGGGGCATATGTAAAATGAGGATATGATCATCCTTTTGGGCTCTTCCTAGCCAGCTCATGCAGAGAAGGACTTTGCATACGGTTGGAAGGGCAGCACAAAGAAGTGCTGGGTCGAGACCTTCATATTCGAAACAGGCACCTTTCTGTGCCTTGACGATAGTTTGGTACCCACTCTGTGCGGAGAGTGTGACTACCTGGCGAAGTGTACTTTCGCGATCATTGGAAATTGTATGGCCAACAACGATGACCGGTTGCTTTGTGCGATGGTCAGGAGCCCAACCCTGGTACTCGGTCATCTTCACCTGGAGACATAGTTCGTCCACCTTTGAGTCCATCGAAAACTCCTCATTGACCCTGAAGATGAACTCGCTTTTCACAAATCCGCTCTGTAGCGGCATGTCCAGTGGCAATTTAACCGCCTGACTATCCTTCGGAGACGTACTGGGACATGTCCATGGCACCAACCGATTGGTGTGGAGAATGCCTTCGTGAAGCCAGAACTCCATCTCCTGGCCAGAGCTCTGAGGTGCTGCAGATCCCAGAACTGCCAACATAGCCTGTGCGATGCTCTGGGGAGACTCCTCCCAGTCAACATCCAACGATAGGATCTTAGCTCCAGGATTCTCCGATCTGACAACCCGCAGGAATCCTAGACTCAGCCCGCCTTCGGCAGTGCGGCCTTGGTTGACACCCAAAGTGAGCCAGAGAAGCACACTTTCCTCAGAGAGAACCAGCTTCTTGAGCATGTCAAATTGTGTCTGGCAGGGATTCGACAAAATGGTACCATCGATGTCAAGAATCACCGTATGTTGGTGAAATGCATGGTTTGTCCGGTGCAAATTTACTACATCGACAGCCACTTCCAGGACCTGTAGCTCTTCCACACACTCCCTCACGAGACGTTGGTCCGAACTTTCTTTGACTACCAAGGTAACCGCTGCTGGCTCTGGTTGTCGGTCACCTTCGTACTCTAACTCCTGGGAGAGAAGCAGGCTAGTCTGTGAGACACATAGCTCTAATGCTGGCCTAGATATTATGGAAGGACAATCCAGACAGCTGCTAGTTACCGATGTGTTCCCATCCTGCATTATGAGCATCCTACCGGTGGGCGCCAAAATAGATTGTAGTTCTTGGATAATGGCCGTATTCAACTGGCCCTTGAAAATGACAAGGTCATGTGCGCCCTGCAAGCTTGAAGACAACTGGGGGATTTCTGGTGAGAACTGTATTATCGATGTATCCTCCGGTAGAGAGAACTTGAGTTTCTTTTTGACATCCCCGTCGAACTCAGCATTGGTTAACTTTCCAGTAACGGGAAACTGGCGCGTCACGGCCTCTAAGAGGCTATAGTCGTCTCCTACAGCAACGAAAGCTCTTTGCATCGGTCGCTTGTGGTTAATCAGGCCAACTAATTCGTGGGCAGCCTCTTCCAGCGACTTGTAGGATGACTGTCCCTGATACTTAGCTGCATAGTCAATGTCAGGTTGCCATCGGTATTGCATGTACTTCTGATCCGGAACGACCGCTGTCGAGCGAGCCGACCAGCTCATCTCGTGCTCCTTGAACCATATTCCCTTACATTCCAGCATCGGGTGCCCATTCGAATTAACTAGCTGTATGTGTGACCGGAAAAAGGGGCGCTGGCACTCGTCTGTCCATGCGAATGCATTTCCTTCGGTTTCTTCAGGATAAGCAATGGTCATCTCTTCGACCCGCATGGGGATGGTGCTGTAAGGCATGACATTATATCGTCCCTGCTCGAAGGAGATAATGGCAAGCTGGAAACAGGCATCAATAGTTCCGGGATGCATGACATATCTTGACTCGCCGGCAATCGTCCCACTCTTTTGGTTTAACCCGATGGTACTTGCTGCTGCGTAATCCCGGCCGTTGGATTCGACCTGCCCTAAGCGCTGAAACGTGTTGCCATAAAAGACTCCAACTCGATCGAACGTTCTATACCACCTGTCGGGGTTGGTACGTTGATGCAATTTCTTAATGACATGTTGGTGACACTGGCTGGATACATTAAGCTTGGTCTTGCGAGCCGTTATATGGCCACCACAATGGATGGTCCAGTGGTTGTCCAGGAGAGACTCGACGGTGAATGTATACCAGTCGGATCCCTTATCGCTCTCCCGCGTCAGTCGAGTTACTACCTCAATCCCATGATCATTGTCCGGTATCACAAGGCCTTGCTGAAAGTTGAAGTCTTTCAAGCAAACTCCATCACAAGGGCTGAATGAAGTATCGCTAATCTGCCACAGGGCTTCAATAGCCAATGCAATGTACGCTGCACCAGGTAGCAAAAGCTCGCTGCCAACCTGTCTAGATGGTCAGATAATAGGGCTCGTACTCGTCCAGACGCATTCACTCACGCGATGATCCCTTAGCCACGGCACATCCCGAAGCCGTAGAACATTTTTCCAAACATGATTGGTATCAGAGAGGCCGGCCACCCGTCTCCCCAGTAGATCATGTCGAGGCTCTGACTGTTGGCGCTGCTCCTGACTTAAGCGGGTCTCTTGCCAATAGTCTTTTGTGTAGTTCCACTGATACGCGGGCAAATCAACTAGCAGTTGCGGCCCTGGTTCTCTGGCCAAGTCGTTTGTCACATTCTGCAAGCGGACAGCATAGCCGGCGAGGAACAGACGCCCAGCGACCCGCAGCAAGTCGTTGCATGAATCAGATCCTCTGATAAGGCTCGGTATGTATTTGAATTCCTTTGAAATACCATCTGCAGACATTATCTGCTTCAACGGCCCACCGAGGACTGAATGAGGCCCAATTTCGACAAAGTGATTCAACTCCAACTCTTCCAGACTGTTAAGCGCGACTATTGCTGCATGAAAGCGAACCCTATTAGAGAGGTTTTCCGCCCAATACTTAGGATTGATATCAGATTCGTAAACCTGGCTCCCTGTCAAAGAAGAAATCATTGGGACCCGGGCGAGCCGTTCTGAGGCGGTAGACGAATCAGTCCTCCGGCTTGCATCCAGAAGTAGTTGCTCATAAGATTCAGCAACAGGTTCCATTGCGGGCGAGTGGTAGGGTCTTCCTGTTATTAGCTCCCTCATGAATACACCAGAGGCGTGAATTTGCGTTTTCAGCTTTTCTTTCGCACTCGTCGAGCCACTCAACGTCACACTATCCGGGGAATTCTCGCATGAAACGACAAAGTCTGTGCCACGAATATAAGGTTCGATCTTGTCCACCCCGAGGCCTACAGCAAGCATTGAGCCTGCAGGGCTTTTCTGTGCAACTGCCTCGCCACGATAGAAAGAGGTTGCAAAGGCTTCCCGAGCAGATAGCAAGCCCGCTGCGTATGCTGCTGCGATTTCTCCGGAAGAGTGTCCCACGATGGCAGAGGGGGTAATTCCCCATGTTCTTAGCTGATCGACTATTGCGATCTGAATTGCTGTGCAGAGTGGCTGTGCAACATCAGGCTCCGCTATGTGGTCTGAATCAATGTTTCCCAACAACGCTTCCTCTATGGTCCATCCTACCGGTGGCTGTAGTGTCCTCATATACTGATCTAAATACTTTATGGTCGTGCTAAACACGGGTAGATTGCGCATAGCATCTTTTCCCATGCCAACCCATTGCGCACCCTGTCCCGTGAAGACGAAGGCGATCGGGCCAGGATCTTCTGCCACGTCGAACTCGAGATTTGGCTTGCTGAAGTTTTCTACTTCATGTCCTTCTAGTGCAATAGTAAAGGCTCTGTGTGAAAAGTGAGTTCGATGGCAATTGAGTGTGTATGCCAAGTCTTGAAGGCGGTGATTCTCGACGATACAAGCGTGCGCTTCGATGTTCTTCTCAAGTGTAGCTCGATCGTGTGCTGTGAAACATACCAGAGCCTTTCCAGGGTTTGAGTTTCTATACTCTGGTTTGAACATTAGCCTCCCGTGGTCAGAATGGACGGCCTCCACAATCAGATGGCCGTTGGTGCCACCATATCCGAAGGACGATACTCCAACCCGCCGGGTGAGAGGGCTCTCAGGCCACGGTCTAGTATCCACATTGATTTTCACATTCCACTCGTCTTCCTTGACTGTTTATTTGTTAGCATGGTTGGGTGCATTCACACATTAGAGAAAAGTTGTCTACAAACTAGCTGGGTTGAGTGTTATGAAGCCCGCTACCCCGGGTATGATACCAGACTCCACCATCAACGCCGCTTTGATCACAGCAAATATACCACTGGCAGCTTCACTATGGCCGATATTCGCTTTGATCTTTGAGAAAATAATTAGTCTCAGTGTCACCATATGCCTCAGAATGTTTGCGGAGAATACTCACTGCACCCAGCAGTAGCGGCTGCTGGCGACTCCGTCTTTCATTCATTCCGTTAGAAATGGCTTTGACTTCTATGGGATCGCCAACCGGTGTGCCAGTCCCTAAGAAGTTTCAGCAGCTCTTTGCGTTTCGCAATTCATTACGCATGATTACCATGGCATTCAACATAGAGTGTGTCTGTTGGGTCCAAGCCGGCTCTCTTGTAAGCAGCACGTAGGACCCTTTCTTGGCCTTGAACACTGGGATGGGTGATTCCTTGGTCTTTAACTTTTCCATTTCTACATCAGTTAGTCGCTTATTCGACGCTTCGAGATCCTGCAACGTCTTACGTATTAAGCGCTGAGCCGCGGATGACTGCTCGAATCGGTTCACCACTGTGAAGTGCATCACTGAGCCTGCGTAGGTAGATGGCGCCTGCTCCTTCGGCACGGCCGTACCCATCTGCTGCAGCATCAAAGGTGTGGCAGGTGGATGTTGGCGATAGGATCCCCAGCTTAGCGGTATCCATGTGCTGATCGACTGAAACAATTAGATTCACGCCTCCTGCGATTGCGCCGTCGCATTCGCCCGTCTGAAGTGCCTGACATGCTTGATGTATAGCAGTCATAGATGAAGAACAGGCGCTATTGATAACGGCGCTGAATATGGTCAGTCGGATTGACTTTATGTGAAACTATACCCTAGTTACCGGCACTCACCTTGGTCCGCGTAGGTCGAACACATTACAGATCCTCGCACTGAGGAGACCAGGGTCAGTCCCTGTGGCTGCATATTCGTGCCGGAAGTCCGGTTCGCGATGAAGCATCTGTTGGTAATCTGAGGTGAAGCAGCCCACAAATGCCCCGATACTCTCCCCAGCAACATCTTCCAATCTCTTACCGGCGTTCTCCAAACACTCATACGTAACTTCAAGCATACGCCGTTGCTGCGGATCTAGCCACATGGCCTCAATCGGGGTGATGCCGAAGAAGTTGGGATCAAAGTCCTGAGGACTGCCGTCAAGAAAGTAACCTCCACGGACATTGAAACTGCCGGGTCTATTCAGGTTCTCATGGTAGAACGCATCAATTTTAAACCGGCTTTCGGGCACAGTTGGGGTCTGGACCGATTTCCTATTAACGAGTACATCCCAGAGATCACAAGGGGTCGTAATCGATCCCGGCAGGCGACAGGCTATATGCTGGTTAGTATAGAGAGAAGAGATGAGTGCATATCGGTACCCACCCATGCCGACGATGGCAATCGGCTCAAAGGGGACATGATCCACAGGTGAGCCCTTTGAAGTAGGGTGTCGCGTCATCAATATTGTAGAGACCTCGTGAAACAAGTATTTAATGACTGATACGAGCTGGGTAATTATATGGGTTTTCGATCTGGGTCTTAGTGAGAGCTTAACACTTTTGGATGCAGGCTCGAGGAACAGGGATGGATGAGGGGACATTTATACCTTAAAGACGAGTCTGACTCTATTATCCCTCACCAGATGCAGATAATAGAGTTCAGCACACGACTCGTGTTTCCCATCTCTTTGGGTCATCTTGCAAGGCGAATCATTCGTTTCTAGGAGTCTCCCACAACATCCACATTCCGCGGCATGCTGTATCAAGTTCACCATTCCTCTTATTCGCAGGTCGGGTTGATCTGAAAGACGTCATGTGTCCAATGAAAATCAACCGGTGATCCTCACTCAGTCCGTCGATGGAAATGGTTTCCTATCTAACGTCCATTGGATGGGAAGTTGCGCAAGGAAACATAACTGGCATGGACCTTCATGATAAATGGGTGGCTTAGACGTTGATCCCTTGAGAGGTTTCGAATGACACAGAACCACGGTATAGAAAAAACCAATCATGCTCTAAACATCACAGTAGAAGCTAAAGCATTAGGAAACTCGCTTTCGCCACCAAACAAGGTAGTGACGCATCCAATGATCTGACTGGTAGGGGGGTACCTTTTCCTTAATGTTTGTTCAAAGTTAGATGGGCTTCTCGATAATGTATCAGGCTCAACAGATGGCGTGGGTAGATGAGGATAAAAGCCTTCTGGGACTGTGAGGTTCGTAATATACCTTGCCTGTTGTGATGCACATGGTTCCTTTAGGCAGTTCAGACTCACATGACAGCGACCAACTTGACGCGGTTGTAAATAAGCGGCGTCAGAAAAATACCAATGGTCATAATAATGTTTGAATCACGCTATTGGACGCTGAAATGAAGCATTGTCCCAATTAGGCGACCAGCATGCTATGGCAGATGCAAGGTGATAATCGAAGGAGTGAGTGGGATGAGCAGAAGTAGCGAGTAAATTGACCCTCCCTTCAGCTCTGTCCGCTACTTATATAGTAGCTAGTAAGTAGAATCCTTTCGGCAGTTTTGTGTACTAAGTACTGGAACTGATAGAAAGCTCAAGGCCAGTGAGGGCAATGGAGGTCATGGAAGGAGTGATTGTCCCTGTTGAGACAACAAATGTCAAACTTCACCGCCCCTGTACTCTCATGCAGGACAGCGATCATGCAGCACGGTTTTGTTTCTCGAAAACCTAAAATTAGTAATTCACATCACACTTATATGAGGCTGGAAGTATCTGTGGCAATCATCCTCTCTAGCTTTTAAAGGGAATCTACAATTACTGAAACCTTTCCAATAGCAAGTGTTTCCAATACATTTCACCCGCTCCCTTCAAGGATGCTGACTATCTACTTGACAGCATAAGGATAGTCCACAGACCTCGAGGCAGGTCACCGCACGCACATGACAATCTGCATAAACTTTAATCGCCAGCTATGGATGCAGAACACATATAGCCATTCCCCAAAATGAACCTGCTATGTACTAATACTATTCATCTGATGTTGCCACGTATGAACACTAAACACAGGTTTACACCTCACTTAGCGGATGCAGACAGCCATGCCCATCCACGTGGGAAGGATGTTTCCTTATGGATGCAAGCCACACACTGGTATGCCGGTATACATGGGATATCCAGGCCTATGATCATAGTGACATGATCATAATTATAATTCAGACATTCGAGAAGTGTACGTATACTCTCACTGACGCTTGAAACCACTGACGTTTGAAACGTGGCATGTCTGTGCTTATTGCATGGAGTCTTTCAGCATTTGTATACTTCTCTGGTCAGTGGTATCCCTTGCAACTTGGGCATTCTTGACGGAAAGTATAATTTGAACTCAGTTACTACCTACAATACATCCGTGATATACAATCTGTGCCTTACGCCGTTTATGCACAAATCCCCTTGGGTATCTACAGGCTGCCTCCCACCATACATGCCCAGATCTCCTGATTGAACCCAACCTCTGCCTCCTAAGGGATGTGGCCTTTTCGTTCTATGGCAGTTCTTAGTACCTGAACACATGGCGATTCAAAGTTAGGCACTGATGATCACCTTCAACGAAACGAGATAGATATATTGACGAGAAGATCTATCAGGACAGTTATCTCCCACTCTTTTACTAGCCCCTTGGAACACACACTGAGATAAATCATCTGTGACAGTTATCTGACCGCGGGTCTCATTCATTCCTATCTAGTATATAGTAACTTCCTTTCGAGGGCCACTCCTCTCTTCCCTTTCTTCTCAAAAATGTAACCATCATCAACAAAATTATTTCATATGGCTGCTACAACATCCCTGCCACTACCCTAACAGCGCAGAGAACTTATGAGAAGACCACCAAAATACAGGACTCAAAACAGGAAGCTGTCCATCGTAATAACCCAAACCATCTCTAGACTGAAGTAGTAGCTGAGTGAACCAGACATAGTGATGAAGCCCTATATAGTTCTACTAAATCTGTACCTCGTCCTAACCAACATGTGATGACACATACATTAAAACTACACCCCTCAATCTCACAAGTTGACGTAGTAATAGTAGTGATAATCACCATCAAACTAACACCAAATACCCTATATCATGAATTAAACCCCACAACAACCTCCCCCCCAACCAGCCCCATCCAACATCCAATGAATAAAAAGGTACACAACTCAACAGGGCCAGCCACCTTTGATTCCAAGCATTGGTGCTAGCACGCACCAATACAAGTGACAACGTCCACTCAAAAGAACTCACCACTACCAGACCAAACCAGACTAGAGTAAGTAACATCTCCCGACCTGCACTACATTTTCCCGGACTCGGTAGATGTCCAGCAACCCCAGCCCGAGACGAGCAACCCTGACCACGACTCCGACCCCGAGCCGAAGTTGCATCAAATCATCCACTGCCATTGCCATTGCATGACAGAATTACCCATTCCACTACTAAACTAGTATATGCAGCATAGATGTATCAACGAATGAATGACTACAAAAAAATCGTATAACACCCCCCAATCGAGAACAACCCCCGAAACTAACTCCCGAGAAGACCTGAATCCGATACTACTCAAGTGAAGTGACACCCGGGACGTTCCGAGAATAACCCCCCAGCCAAGTCCAAACCCGCCCGCATCGGGAACCGGAACGGGAATGTAAGTATCGATCCATCGCTCGGCTCGAATGCAGCAGCCACCACCACCACCACTTAATTATCCAACGCTCGGGGATCTCGTACACGGGATGGGTGGATGGATCGGAAGCTTCCGCTGAGATACTCTAGTTATCTCATTGGATGAGGACCCGAGATTACTACCCTCACTTCCTAATCGCTCATTTGAGGTTTTCAGATGAAATGACAGCAGGAAAATTGAGTTTCAAAGTCCGACCGCACGCGGCGACAATGTCGTCACGACTCGGTACCAGAGTTTTTCGAGAATGGGATAAGAGGTAGAAAGCTTCAATGGTTAAATTTTTACTTTTACTTTACTACTCGTGACGAAGTTTATTGGAAGTTACTTGATTTTACTGAGAACGGTTATTGGGTGGGTGGGAAAGAAACCGGCTGCAACATTGCAGGGTTGTAGTAGATTTCCATGTAACCCAAAGCAAAAAGCAAAAAGTCTAAAAGTAACCCGAACTTATCCAATCCATCTAACCAGCCCAGTGGAAGAGACATCATTGGTATGTGAAATGTGTATGTGAACATGACAGTGGGAGAAAAATGAAAAACCCAGTCTAAAGAGTCCAAAAAAGGAAACAATAAAGCCAAAACAAAATCAGTCGACTCGCTGATGGCGATTTTTTGTGGCCCAGGAGCGACGATGGATATCAGTAGTCCAAATCCGTAAGCCGTAACATGCAAAAGAAATGTCTAACATCGATCAAGATGTGAACAAAGTGGATGAGAAAAAAAAGGTGTGGAGAGAAAGAAAAAGCAAGCGCCGATGTTAATGCGTTTACTCGACAGCAGAGGCACCGTCGCCGTGGAGGACGGGGTTGACCTTGGGGTTCCACTTGAACTTGAAGTCCTGGCCGAGTTCCTTGCGGACGGCAGACTTGACGGCCTCCAGGACGTTGGGGAAGACACCGAAGTTGGCCGGGTTGTTGTCGTCGTTGTCCTTGCCCTGGAAGACACCGGTGCGCACCAGACAGGTGTTCCAGCCGTGCATGTTACCACCGCAGATGTCGGAGGCCGGGTTGTCACCGACCATGTAGATGTTCTCGGGCAGACGGTTCTCGTTGTGGATCTGCTCCATCCAGGCCTTCATGACCTCATCGGCGTAGGTGTAGGTGGCGCGCTCGGGCTTGCCGTAGACGACACGCTCCAGGTCGACACCGGTGAGGGCCTTGTACTGAGCCTCAATGGAGATACGGAAGAGACCCTGGGTCAGACGGGGGGGACCCTTGTGGTCGGTAGGGAAGACCAGGTCACCCTGGGAGAAGTAGACCGGGATGCGGGAAGCAACGGGGTCCTTGGCGCGGGTCAGCAGCTTTCCGTCCTCGGCCAGGAGGAGGTCCATGATGAGCTGCATGTCAGTGGCGTAGTCGCGCGAGTCAGCGAACACCAGGATAGCATCGAACTTGATCTTAGAGAAGTCGCGGGGTTTGGCCTCGAGACGGTCCTCCTCGTGGAAGCAGCCCCAGGGGGAGATGGTGGGGTCCCAGGCGAGAACATCCTTAGGGTGGATGACGTTCTTGAAGCCGTAGTTCTCAGCGACCTTGCGAATCTTCTGCTTCTCACCACCGCAGACCAGGACGGTCTCGTAGTACTCGGCCAACGCCTGCATTGGGGTGTGAGACTGGATGAACTGGTCGGTGGAGATGGGGCAACCAAGGACCTCGGTGAGCTGGGCGCAGCGCTCGTCCTCGGTCTTACCACCACCGTTGGTCAGGAGAATGTAGGGGATCTTGATGCCCAGCTCGTTGTCACCGTTGAGCATGGCGAGGGCCTCCTTGGCCTCCGGAATGGCCTCGTTACCGTGGGCCAGGACACCATCGATATCGAAAGCGAAGGCCATGTTCTTGGCGGCAGCGACCTTCTCCTTGGACATGTCCTGGACCTGAGAGGCCAGGATGTCGCGGGAAACATCCGCAGTGACCACCGAGGAAAGACGAGAGACACGGGGAGATCTGGGGATGGGCAGGGAAGTGCCAAAGGAGTTGCGGGAGCCACGACGGTCCCGGGAGGAGGGAGCAAAGCTCAGGTTGTGCATGTACTGAGCAGCATCGCTGATGGAGCTGCGAGTAGCGGGGATCTCGACAGTGTTGCCAGCATCATTGGGGATGGGCAGAGAGCCAGCAGCGCTACCACGAGCATCGCGGGGGGAGCGAGCACCCGGAGCAGGGGCAGCGTCCACGGCGAAGTCAGCATCGTCGAAGCGAGGCATGATGAATTGCTGAAGGAATTGAGGTTGTAGAGAGGTTCAATTGACACAAGACCGAAAGGTCAGGAGAGTTAAAAGAATATATAGGAGGGGGAGGAAGATGGATGATAAGATAGGAAGGATAAAGGATGATATCACTCGGAGACGAAAACAGGAAGACAACCAATGGGCGTCACCTGCAAGCAATTGTCACCGGAGGAAGATGGAAGAGGAGGATGATGTGAAAGAGAAGGATGAAGATGGAAAAGAAAGAGAAGGGAGGCGAAGAGGATCATATATAACAAGCTTTCTTCAGCAGAACTACAGTGGCGGTAAGGTCCCAGCGGACGAGGGGAGAAGGCGTACCACCGACAAGGAGGGTGTTTATCCTGGGTGCAGCCATACGGAGACAGCGCTGCGGCCAAATCAGCCATCCGGATCCACCGACTGGGTTGGGAGGGGCGTATCATCATCCCTAGGAATTCTCGTCGTCATTATTTACGGGGAGATGATTAGCTGCGACATTTCGTAGTTTCGCTGGAGGAGAGCGGAGCCAACAATGGCAGCTTGATGGATGGATGTAGTTTAGTCTAGTAAGTAACTGGTCTTACAAAAAAAGAAAGTCCACTACTTTTTTTTTTCTGGGCAGGTTGTAGGTGGAGCTAGCTCTGTTGTAATCTTTCAAGACTGTGACCGCTGGACCCTGGCTGGTGGTAATTTATGACATGCTCAATACTACGACATACACACAGCACACACACACACACACACACACACATAACAAATGCGCAACGCCAATTACCATGCAGGTATTCAAGTTACTACTCCTTTCGGAACAGTTTTCTGAGGCATTAAACAGACACACACACACACACCACAAAAAGTCCCACTCTTCACACCACTTTCACTGCCGCAGCATCGTGGCTGCAGATGGCAGCCTGAACTTGCCCACCGCGGCGGGGCGGGAGGGCTACTGGAGAGTGGCATCACCGGATTCTATGAGACATTATTGGCCAGGCTGGAAATTTGTTCGCAGGACGAACCACTCAAGAAGGAAGAAGCTGCTGCAAGTTGAGTGGACAGGAGGGGGTGCCAGCGGGACTGTGTGGGACAATGATTGGTCGCTACGGGCATTCCATCCACGAACGAGCCACAGATCGCTGGAGCCGATGACGATCGAGCGGGCGGCGGCGGGTCAAACGCTCGCGCCGTTTCGAAAACCAGTACATCCAATGATGTCATGGGCTCCATGTCACTCGTTTTTTTGGTAATTGCAATTTCCCCGTCTGCATTGGGAAATGAGAAATTCAAACTGAATTTAATGGGATCCAGAAAAAAGTGGGTTTTCTTTCCTCAGGCCAAAAACCAAAACGTGTCCATGCCGTCATGGGAAGCTTCACAGGGAAATTTGTCCAGAAGCTCCCCCAAGCTCGAGCTTGGAAAAGAAAATTATCGAACACCAAGGTCAAGCGTAGATGGTTCTTTTCCAGGATAGCTTGGTGAAGTAAAAAGTACAAGTGTACATACCGCAAATCGAAAAGTCAGAGAAAATGACCCTGCATAATATAATTAGTAGCAGCAATAGCATCATACCCCTCATCAACACACCCCCCTCCACCCCACTTGCTGTTCTTGCCTGTAAAGTTGCCTTCTTCTCAACGAGAGCCCCTCCTCGCCCATACCACCAAGTGACTTCTTCCCCTCCCACCCGCTATTTGTACTCATCCCTCGGCTTCTCTACCTCTTCTTCCTCTTCAACTATACCAAATATACCCAATTCCTTCTTTTCACCATCACTTCGATACCCTTACACAACCATGTCTTCCGGACAGTCCTTCACTCTTAGCAACGGCGTCAAGATCCCCGGCGTCGGTTTCGGTACCTTCGCCAACGAGGGTGCCACTGGTGAGACCTACAAGGCTGTCACCTGCGCTCTCAACACCGGATACCGTCACCTCGACTGTGCCTGGTACTACCTGAACGAGGGTGAGGTTGGTGATGCCGTCAAGGACTTCCTCGCTGCCAACCCCTCTGTCAAGCGTGAGGACATCTTCATCTGCACCAAGGTCTGGAACCACCTCCACCGCCCCGAGGATGTGCAGTGGTCTATTGAGAGCTCCCTCAAGAAGCTCAAGGTCGACTACGTTGACCTCTTCCTCGTCCACTGGCCCATTGCTGCCGAGAAGGAGACTCAGGAGAAGCCTAAGATCGGCCCTGATGGAAAGGTATGTCTATTTTCCCTCATAATTCTAGCATCAGAGCAGTGCTGATTTGAAACTCCTATAGTACGTGATCCTCAAGGATCTCACTGAGAACCCCGAGCCCACCTGGAGGGCTATGGAGAAGATCTACAAAGATAAGAAGGCCAAGGCGATTGGTGTCTCCAACTGGACCATCGAGGGTCTGGAGAAGCTCCTCAAGTACGCCGAGATCAAGCCTCACGTCAACCAGATCGAGATCCACCCCTTCCTGCCCAACCAGGAGCTCGTCGACTACTGCTTCAAGCACGACATCCTGCCCGAGGCCTACTCTCCCCTGGGCTCTCAGAACCAGGTCCCCACGACGGGTGAGAGGGTCAGCGAGAACCAGACCCTGAACGACATCGCCAAGAAGGGCGGCTACACCCTGGCGCAGGTGCTCATCGCCTGGGGTCTGCGTCGTGGCTACGTTGTGCTCCCCAAGAGCTCCAACCCCGCCCGTATCGAGTCCAACTTCAAGAGCATCCAGCTCACGGATGAGGAGTACGAGGCCGTCAACAAGGTGGCCGAGGGTCGTCACTTCCGCTTCGTCAACATGAAGGACACCTTTGGCTACGACGTGTGGCCCGAGGAGACCGCCAAGAACCTGTCCGCTTAGATGATGATAGAGAGTGATTTTTTGATTTATGCAGGCCATAAACCAGTAAAATTGGACCGAATGAGCTTATGAGTGGATGGACGAATTGAGATGAAATGTGTATCTAGCAATCAAAGCAAAACAGATTACACCACAATACAATACGTATAGAAAGCAATCCATGTATTTCACTTTCATTCCCCTTTTCCCCCTAGAATGATACAAAATAGACGAAACAGAAAAAAGGGCCATCATAAAAAATAATAATTTAATAATAGGAAACCACCTATCCGCCAATCCCAGCCATCAAATTGTCGCTCCCACCAACAGTTCGCAAATGAAACCTCAACCCATTCATGCATGCATGCATGTGCTTGCCAGCCGAATCACAGTTAGCTAACCTAAGTGGCTTGATGGAGACGAGACGGGAGAACGGGACTAATCCTAGTAAGTTAGGTTACTTACTCGGAGTGTCGGAGGACTGTCCTCCATGCGTTGACGGGGCTAGTGCGCAATGACGTCAGAGCAATTCCTCCATTCCTCCCTTTAACATCCAACAACACAAAATAGTCTAAGACACTACTACGAAACAATGAAGAATAGCATCTGAAAGAAGAAAAAAAATAATAAATATTTATATGTGGCAAAATTTTTCATAACGAGCAATCTAGAACCTTCATCGACCACACCACTACATATTTTACATATATACTACTAATCCTTGTATTTAATTCCTATATTGCATGGCAATGGCTTTTCATCATATCATGATGTATGTATGTATCAAGCGTACCTGGAACCAAAACAATTAACACAAAGGAGAGGGGGGACCGGTACTACTCTAACCGAAGCAGGCTAGTCATGGGCTCGTGTCGGAGAATCTCGGAATATAGGTAGTACCCGGGTTTCTCCTCGGTGGGCAAATGTGGAAGAAGCCCTAAAACACCGAATGGCTGAATTGGGTAAGGGGGCTTGCGTGTTAGTAGTTAGTACTGTTTGGGGGAGTGGGGTGGGTTGGTTGTGATGGTGCCCTAGCCCTAGTAGTACTTGGTATTTAATTATTTTATCTGGTTGATGTTATACTACTACGGAGTAAGTAGTAGTACGTAGAGAGGGGTAAAACCCCCAGTACTTACTAGGATTTGTCCAATCGGGATAGAGGATTGATGGAGTGATGGATACTGTGTACGGAGTACATTTATCGGGATTGAATGTGATACGGTGGATTGGATGGTATACCAGGAGAGTACTATCTGCGTGTATATTTGAGGGATTATTTATGTTGGATGGATGGGATGGATAATGGTCCACTTGGTATGTTTCTGAATACGGAGTATAACCATCCATCCATCCATCCATCCATCTATTTATCTTCGCTACCTACTTACTTATCTAGTCGGTAGAAAGATATCATTCGTCTAGAGGAGTAATAGAGGAGTAGCAGTAGTATCGACCATAGTATATACCGGTTATGGTTGGTTGGTCGGTACTGGTGCCTGAATCCATCCAGGATCAATCAATCAATCAATCAATCAGACAAACATATCTGAAATTCGGATCCATCAACCCTGCCACATACACCAAAGTACTTACTAAACTACAAAATATCCAAGTAACTACCTTAGTTACTCCATAGTAGTATTCCGAATCTACCCGCGATATGCGCCCTAAAATAGGGAACTTCAGCGAAAAGCTAATTGCATCCTGGGCTGAACTTTGTTAGTTGTTAGTTTGTATTTGTTCTTTTCTGGCTTTGGATCTGCGTGGGATTTGCGCTTCGTTGGTTCTTAATACTAGCTTTGGTATATATGGGAGTGGAAGTAAAAGTAGACTATGTACTTATTTAGTAGGTGGGATGGGGGATTGGGATGTGGGGTAATTTTTTGAGATTTGAGGGATTAATGGGAGAGGAAGGGAGGGTGAGGAATTGGGGTACGTAGTTAGTGTGGTTTATTGAATTGAAGATGTGGTGATTGAGGGCAGGTATTGTGTACTAGTACTTCAGTTAGTTTGTAGTAGTAGTGTGATGGGTGATCGTCGATATGTGTTTACTGTGCCAAAGTTTATTGAACTTGCAGTTGATGATGATGATGGTAGTCAAAGCTCAGTATATATTTCGAATGAGGGTGTGGTTGTATATTCTCTCCGCACTACTAGTATGATCGCAACGGCTAAGGGAATAAGTACTATCTTCCATAAGACTAGAGTGAAATATAGTACTATCGCCCTACTTTCTACCATACCAATTAGTTCGAATACTAATTAGATTGCACGAGGTATCTACAACCTCTCTCAATGTATATTGTAATTGTAGTCCACGCGGATATGATAGTATATAATCGTTACACTTTCCTATAGCTTACTAGTACTACTACTTAGTACTAACTGGTAGTAATGACCCTCTACCTACAACCAGCCTCTAGCCCCTACTACTATTACGGAGTGTATCTAGTACGTAGTACTAGTAGTATCATCCTCAACAACAAAATATATATCAACACCACATCCAGAATAGTAACTCACCGGCACCACCCTCCATCAACTTCAATACTAATCCCCACTGCATCAACCTGCAACCCAGCTACTAACTGTATATGTACAATGCAGGGCGGGAAACCTTATCCCTGAACGCAGACGTTATATCATCGTGCAGAGACATGCAGAAATCCATCATGTATGAGGAAATATAAGGTGTGTGTGTGTGGGTGTGAGTAGTCTATAGCTTGGATACATATC